GTCTGGAAAAATCTTAAAAAGACAAGCTAATGTTTTACCACTGATTGAAGATAGGTTAATCTCACTCAGACTGATGCAATCAAAGCCTATCATATTCAAACTAAATGTCTTATTTACACCTACTGAATCAACCAGCTTTTTTAGGTTATCAGCTGTAAGAGAGTAATCCATAAAATAAAAAATTCCCTCATAATAATCAACTGCAATGACTAACCCTGCAAGTGATTTACCATCAATATCTGAAAGGTCATTGTCCTTACAATCAAGTCTGTCTTTCAATACTACATTCATCCTATCACATTCCTCCATCATTTCATTAACAATACTGCCTGATAAACTGCAATGACTAATGTCAATATGTTTCTTGTCTGGAAAAATCTTAAAAAGACAAGCTAATGTTTTACCACTGATTGAAGATAGGTTAATCCCACTCAGATTGATGCCACCAGTCATATTCAAACTAAATGTCTTATTTACACCTACTGAATCAACCAGCTTTTGTAGGTTATCAGCTGTAAGAGAATAATCACTCCAACTCAAAGTACCAAGATGCTGGAATACCCTTAATAACTCTGCAAGCGATTTACCATCAATATCTGAAAGGTCATTGCCCTTCAGATCAAGCATGTTGTCTTTCAATACTACATTCATCCTATCACATTGCTCCATCATTTCATTAACAATACTGCCTGACAATCTACATTGACTCATGTCAATAAATGATAGATCTGGAAAAATCTTAAAAAGACAAGCTAATGTTTTACCACTGATTGAAGATAGGTTAATCCAACTCAGATTGATGCCACCAGTCATATTCAAACTAAATGTCTTATTTACACTTACTGAATCAACCAGCTTTTGTAGGTTATCAGCTGTAAGAGAATAATCACTCCAACTCAAAGTACCAAAACGCTGAATTACCCTTAATAACTCTGCAAGCGATTTACCATCAATATCTGAAAGGTCATTGCCCTTTACTCCAAGAATATTGTCTTTCAATACTACATTCATCTTATCACAATTTTCCATCATTTCATTAACAATACAGCCTGATAAACTGCAATGATTCATGCCAAAAAAAACAAGTTTGGGAAGTTTTTTCATTAACTTTCCAAAAGTTTCTCCATCTAAATTCCCTAGATAATTATGGCTGAAATCAAGTTCACCTACTTCAATTTCAGGAAATCCATTGACCATGTTATTAAAACTTTCCTTTGAGAGGCCACATAAAACTATTTTAAGACTAGATATATTTGGATACACTTTAAGTATATCACACAATAATGCATCATCAATGGGATTTTTGCTAATGTCAAGGTAACATAATTCACCTCCACTGTTCCGACATCCAGTAATCATTGCCCTCACACTATCACTCGATAGACTACAGTTGATTACATTTAGGGCATTTAGTTCAGGAGCCATTCCAAATAGTTTTTCTAGTAATGCTCCATCGATATCATGTAGATTACTGTGAAGTATATGAAATTCTTTTAATGTCAACTTCACATTAGTTTTGGGTAACTCTTTGGTAACTACACTGAGTATAGCCTCAGTAAGCCAGTTGCTAATATATAAGACAGATAGGTTATTTGAATGTGTCAGGAAATGAACCAAGAATGATGAATTAAACCTGAAGTCTAAACAGACTATAGTGTCACTATAATTTATTTGAAGAGATTTCATCTCAGCTGAAAGGATATTGAGGCTTACATCATTCCAATTAGAAATATATGCAAGAAAATGCCAGGTTTGATAATGACTGTCAAACTGCTCTTCATGTAAATTATTTAGTCCCTGTACTATAACTAAAACAAGTAGAACACTTCTGCATGATTTTCTGAAAGACTCTTTACTGGATGTATCTATCAATGACATCATTTTATGTTCAAGTCCACCAGGATTATGTCCATATGTAACACAACATTTTTCCATAAGTTTGAAAAAATGCTCACTTCTACAGGTATCATCAACAAGAACACTTTTAAATGTCTCATGCACTTGCTTACAGTATGTTTTCATTTCAGTGGACATGTTTTCATCTAATTTTCTTAGTACAGGTTTTTCATTTTCCTTCTTTACATATTTAAAACTCTGTGCTATCGAATAAAATTTTGAAGGCTTTACTAACCAATGCTTCAGCAATTCACCTGCCTTAACACCTAGAAATCCTACTGTAAACTCTCTTGTCATATTTAAATATTTATTACATCTGATCACCTCATATTCATCATCTTTCAAATGCTCTTTCTCAATTTGATTAGCCAAATAAAACCCTGCTAGTGCTTCTGAGATTAATTTGTGTGGGGGTGTGTAAATCTTCCTTACATCACCAGAGTTAAAAGGGCTTTCTTCATAAACAAATCCAAGTTCCAATGCTAAATCTACAGAAAGTAAGTCATTTGACATCTTTGTCAAATCATATTTGTCAATAGACAATTTATTTTCCTTTAGGCCTTCATACATGCATTCTCCTAATAGTAGAATGGCAAGTGTATACTGCTCTGGAATTCTCTCAATTTGGAAAATAGCAGCTCTATCATTACGCTTGCTTTTATACTGACTTAAAATGCAACAAATCAATACAATGAAAAGATCTGACAAGTCTTTCGGAAGATGTTGTTTTTGTTCCCACATGGTACAAACCATAAGCAATAACAGTGGGGATGAGCACAAGTCAAATGCCTCTTTATGATCCGAATTCCCAAAAAATTCATCTTCATCAAGTTTAAACTCCTTTATTAGTAATGTCCCCAATTTATATTTATTGATTGAACAAAAATGCTTATGAATATACTCCTTTATGTTTCTTGAACTGAATCCATTCACTTTAATATGTATAGTACAACACTTAACCAAATCAATTGTGTTGTCAGGTCGGGATGTTATCACCACAGTGCTTTTTTCAAATTCAAGTCCTTTGAACAGATATATAGGGTCCTTTGCATCGCTATGCAACTCATCATATCCATCTAACAAAATCACTATATCATCAGCATGGTTGATCAGGAATCTTTCAACTGAATTAGATGGTAAATTGTTCTGAAGAATTAATTCTTTCGTACTTATGTTTTTCATAATTATTTCCAGGATATCTGTACCTGCTTTAATATCCCCAATATTGATCAGAAACAGCAATTTACCAGCAAAGGCATTATGTACATCATCAGTAGCCCATTTATAAGTAATATATTTGAGGAGTGTAGTCTTGCCCATTCCTCCTTTTCCTGTTATTAATACCTTACATGAACCTGTTGATTTAATAATATGTAATACCTCCGTTAATGATGTGGGTTTACCTTCCTTTCTTATACATGTTGACTTGTTTTGTGCTCCATCTTCTTTTCCAGACTTGAGTAAGCTGAGTTCAGTGAATACTTCTGCAATATCTACTTCATGATGTTTATGCCAGATTGCTGGTGTCATTCGATTCACATCCTGATACAATATTTTCAGTTGTCTTGTCAAGTAATCTTTGATTATTTTATCTGAAATAGTATAAATCAAACAATTGACAGTATTAATCTTCCTGTATTTTATTATTTAATTTTACTATATTATTAACATATTATTTTCTCATTAGAAATATAAACACAAAATTAGGTTTAACATTTCTTTGAATCTTAGTACCAGATGAATTACATAGCTAAATAAACATAATTATTTAGCTATCACACAACATTACTATTAGCACATTCCTATCTTATAGTAGCATTAAATATTTACATGTATTTTATACAAAGGAAGTATTAGTAGTATTTTTTTTTCATTATCTTTCATAAGGTTCATTATTTAATTACATTTTCTGATTTATATATCTCCCCCTGTGTTATTAAATATTCAATAAACAAAAAACCCTTTACTTTAGTCTTAATCTAAGGCCCCATAAAAAAAATTATTAGTTTATCACCCGCTCCCTCATCACTTTTGGGGAAAATCAGTTTTTTTTTTGTTTTTTTTTTTCAATCAACATATATTTTTTATTTCAAACGGTCCTTTTTCCATCTTTATTCACTTGAAAATGTCATGGTTTCTTGCAAATATGTTTACTGGTACAACAAAAACATCTTTTTTAAATATAAATTTGATTCCACTCTTATGACTTTTTATATATGTGTCCCTAACCATTGATTTACTTTAATGGGGGCGAGGTTAGCAAAAAAAAAAAAAAAACCTACCTCCCTCCCTCATCAGTTTTTATTCAAATCATTCGGTGATAAACTAAAAATTTTTTTTATGGGGCCTAAGCTTTGTACTGGTTTCACCAGTATAACTGCCCATACTACATTTGTCACAGTATATCATGTACACTGCCTTTGAGACACAACATTCTGACACTGCATTTGAGATGTAACATTCTAAGTTACTGGAATTTAATTTTACCGAATGAACCCTATCCTGTGGGTCGCCCCTGCTACTACTATTGTAGCTACTGCAGACCAACGAACACTTGAGAAGAAGCATGGAAACATAAATGGGAAGTCAAATCAAATAGGCTTAAGCCAATTCCTAATTCTGATTGGATGCAAATGCACTAAATCCAATACATATACATCAAATCAGAATTAAGAATTAGTTTAAGACATAAAAATAATATGCCTACCTGGGGATGGTCTTTGAAGACTTTGCATCAGGCGGTTACCCTGCACAGCTGATCTCAACCAATCAGGAATCGGCTGATTCCAGACTAAATAGTTGTAAGTCAGTATCTGTGCTTGGAGTTGCTGCAGCTGTTGAGGCAAGAGCAATTGTCTTGCTGGTGGGGGTTGCTGCTGATGACTGGACATTGCACTTTCCCCCATACCATCTGCTGGTCCACAATATCCTGGCAACAGATAAATTTCTTAATTTTAAAAATATTTATGGAGGAAGATTAACTGAATTGTTAGGTATTAATCTGACTGTATTTATTGTCAAAAGACATTACAAACTTTTGAGGTGGTCGCTTACAGGAGGTAAATCATAAGAAAAATCCAAAAGTCAAAAAGGCGTGGCGGCCACTTACAAGAGATGTTGGCGGTGACTTACAAGAGATGGTGGCTTACGAGAGGTATCAATTGCACTGATTAGATAGGGATAACAGGACTAGTGTATATGAGAGTGGACGTTAAGTGAGGTGATCACTTACAGGAGGTCGCACAGGAAGGTTAAACTGTATTATACTAGGGAAGAGTAATTTACACTCTTCTCTGATTATACTAAATAATACTGTAATAAATTACAGTGTTTTCATTTGCTACCTCGATACTATTAACCAGAGAGTTACCATGATGGTAACAAAATGTTTTTTATTTCAACATTAATTATTACTGTAGGCCTATCCACAACATTCTTAATTCATGTGCGCTTGGTCTGAGGCAAGGTCACTCAGTTACACTGTAAATCATAATTAAAGGAGGCTCACATTACATAGGCCTATATAATATTTTTTTTCACATTACCGATAATTTACTACTATAAAATTTAATGAACTTAAGGGGAAGGAGAGGGGTCAGAAACAATTCCAGTTAAGATTTTAAAAATATCACCTAGTGATACAATCACCTACTAAAATAAACAACACAGAGCGCACGCTTACGCAAATATTTCTGATTCAGAAGATGGAATTCCCACCTTCCAAAAACATAGCAGTGATATGTTTAGAACGTTTCTAATTTTAATTAAATTAAAATAAAAAAAAAATAGAAAATAACTCACTATCACATAAACATTATAAAAATATCAAAGATTAATATTAACTTTATGTAATGATATTTTTGATGTAATTTAATAAGACTCTGTGCACCAAGTGTTTAAACGCCCTAGGCTAGGTAGAGTCTGAGCCACTTTATGCCCCGATATGAGTGATGTGCTATCGCGTAGACTACCATAATGTGTGCAGAGAGAAGAGACATCGCATAGAGGCTTAGCTAAGCTGTACGCGCAGTGCATGCATATGGTGACACATCCAAGATGGGCCAATGTGAATAAATCTGGAAAATGATTATTTAATTAAATTTAGCATAACTCAGCATAACTTTAGCATATTCAACCAATTTTTGTCATCTAAACAGTAGATTACTCACATCAATGTGTTCTTTCCATTGAATTAATGTGAAACGATATTTGAAGTCAATTGAAGGATACAATTTTTTGTGTGCTTCTAGCTAGTATTGTACCTTCAAGGAGACATGCCTCAATAAGTTATGGAAGCTGTCTAAAAAATGTTTGATTTTAATGTTTGTCATGATCAACCTCTTTGTTCTAAAATGGGATATTATGTAACTGAGTATGCTAAATCAGTTCTTTAATTATTTAAAATTGGTAAATTTCTCTTTTAAGTGTAACAAACCATAGCAGTATACCTTCAAGCAAAGCTTTCACAGCCAAGTAACTTGGTAAACCTTCAATAAATTCATCAATCCTTTCTTCACAAAGCTTGTTCTTTTGCTCTAGATCCAGAATCAAAAGCCAGTTATCTTTATAATTCTCTAACAGCGGCATGTTATATCGTACATCAAGCGTTCCTCTATCACTTTTAGTCAGTACCATACCTAGATTCAACAGGAATTGTCTGTATTGTGTGAATGAAGACACTTCACGTTCCCTGATTCTTTGTAAAGGTGGATGTACAATTCTGGAGCTGAAGCCAAATTGTCCAGTAACTACTATTGTGTCATACAGGATAGCAAGATTCGTTGGACTCAAATTGCCAGAACCAATTAACAAACGTAGCAAGGACATCACTTCAGTAGCTTCACTTAACTTGTAATAAACTGGCACATGATTTCTATTGTTGTACAAAACTTTCAGCATATTGATGTATTCAAGTCCATCATACCATCTTGAAAAATCCAACAACAGCTGGCTAAAATTGCTTTCTGAAATTCCTATGATTAAAAGGTGATAGATAATAAATTGACTGTAAAAGTCATCAAAAATAGAAACTACAGTTAACAATGTTTCAAATCTACAATGAAAAATACATATTTGATCACCATTGATCATCAATTATAGTCATAATCAGAGGAGTGGCAAATAGATAAAATAAAATTGAAGATACAAACAATATAGTTCATGAATACTTTTTAATATCCTGAACAAATTCTAATTTAATTCACCGGTTAATCACGCTAAGCACTCGGCGGGTAGTCAACTGTTCGAACAAGTTTAAGCTCAATTTAAATACTGTGTAACGAAACTATTATAGAAGTGAATTTCAAAGGTCATCAAATGCAAATGAGAAACACTTATCCCATCTACCCATTCTTTGTTTATTTTCTACTGCTGCTATACCCTGGCCCACGTACCCTACAGTGAGCCACACGGGAACAAGATCAGTTATATACGCTGCTTTCAAATCTGTACGTTGACTAGTTTATTCAAGATTATTTAGTTCTAATAAGCCACCAATACACTACAATAATACGAGGTTATGCTGATGGCTTTACTGTCAAATCTGACTTTGATTTGATTGTGCATGTGAGGAGGCGAAGAGAGCGTGACGACAGCGTGTACTAGCTGCAGCTAGGCCTTGGCCCTAACCTAATAAATTTCACAAGCTGAACTGTGGACAAAACAATAAACTTATTATAATCAATATATCATCACCTCCGGCACCATGGTCATCCCATACACAGTATTCTACCCAGCAATTTGGTGGTCAAAATTGTCACAAAAAATCCAAATGGTAAGGTAATTAGGCAAGTGTCCAAGCTGTTTTGGATTGTATGTAACGGTAAATCGTATGTAACTGGGAAATTGCACAGATATTTTTTGCTCAAACGGGCCCTCAGTAAACAAAAATTCTTGATACAGTGCAATTATCTTCTGAAATATTGATTAAATCAATTTTGTTCAATGCTGAGAGTATCTGAAACGGTTTGTGGATATTTTTGTTTTGCAAAAGAGGATGCACAAATGGTTACCTATGACCAATATGTGAAGTCCTTTGATTAATTTAAGGGGAATCAAGACTCCCTCTCTCCCTCTGGTCAAAAAATTTGCCACTGTAGGTAATAAATATCAATTAATGCAACTCTAACGAACATATGGTTTTTTAGAGCCAATTAAGTAAATTTCAGAAATTGAGAACGTAAACATTAACAGCATAGCTACAGTACAGCACAGAAAAATTAGTCTGAACATAATAGCCAAGATATAAGGTTTTGTAATGGCTGTGGCTTAAGGTCCTATACATGATCCATTGTTCTTTGGTTCTAAAGATTTGGTATCAGATTTAACCATTTCAGCTTATGCTGCTGGTTTGGAAATTTATGTTTTTTAAACCAGAATAAATAAATAAATTATATCCAGTACCGGATCTGTTCTTTTTGGGGGCTGCTGCGAACCTTGTCTGGAGCCATTGCAAGCAAACCTTGCAAGGCACTGCCTTACTACATAAGCGGCATGACCACATGCCCCTCCACCGAACAAGTCAAGCCCCCCCTCCCCCACGCCGGACAGAGCTCGTCGGGCAGTCAGACCATAAAACATATAAAAATAGGCCCACACCAAGCCAACACTTGTCTGTCACAGTCTAAAGGAATTTTTATACTTCAACGATAACGATAAAAAAGCTAAAAAGTGATTGTTCATATAGAAAGCAAAAGAAATAAGAGAAGTTTTTATACTAGGACCATTCGATAACGATTTATCGTGTATACGATAACAAATATTTTTAAAAATCAAATCACATGGAAAAATGATAAAATCGTTGCTACTACTACGATTTTAATGTTTTTCCATGATTATGACGTCATCTGATTTAATTTGTCAAAATATGTTGTTATCCCATAACTGATAAATCGTTATCGAATCGCTCTATTGTAAAAACTTCTCATTTCTTTTATTTTCTATATGCTTTTTAGCTTTTTTTATTCAATTGCTTTTAGCTCTTTTATTGTTATCGTTATCGTTGAAGTATAAACAGGCCTTTAGAGTGCCATTTTCAGCCATCCAGAGGTTGATATTCTTTAAAAAAAATCTCATTTGGGAGGGGGAACCCCCTCTCAACCCCTTCTTCCAGCTCGAGCTGGGGCTCAAGTCCTCCCTGTCGGACAACTTAGCCCACCCAGAAAATATATCCTAGAGCCGCCACTGTGCAGAGCACAAACCTTACAAGCGGACATAGCAAAATAATCTTCTGACTAAAATAAAGATATAAATAAAGTATATTTCGTTTCAATATTTAATATCAGTAATTCTAAGAATAAAAACCATCCAAAAAATCTTCTTGTAGTAAAGAAACTTTTCAAAAAAAACCAAAAAAAAACATTATCTCTCAAAAATGCATGTGGTATTTAGATATTTTAGCACAAAGGGAGCTTCTTATTCACACAGTCAAATACGGAAGTGAGGACTATTTTTAGGAGACAGTTTGAACAAACTACCCTGGATCAAACTGTTCGGTTTTATTGGAATGTGTGTTCTCTTTCAGGATCAAAGCTAATTAGTCGGTATATACAGGTAAGTATTCACGAAATACACTAGGTAATATCAATACACTCTCCAATAGCGAAATGATGAAACGTCATCATGGCGTGGAAGTGAGTAACCCTTTGTAAGAGGGAAAATGCTGACTTAAATAAATGATGATTAATAAAACTCCCCATAAAACAAATACAATATTTTATTGAATAAATCAATTAAATTTCAGTATCAGATGAATTACACTGAATAATATCCGTTCTACAATTACACAGTCAATCATTATAGTTATCCACGATAAATATTAAGCACTTATTTAGTTCTTAGTACAAACCTTTGTCTGACTTTGGTGCTTCTGATGTTGATACTTCTCCATTATCTACTGAAAAAATAGAAATTGATTATTTGTTCATTAGCAACATAAACCATAGCATAAATCATTTTTCTAAAGTTAAAACAGTATATTTAAAAAAATTAATAATGACTTTTGAACACATGCTCTCTCAAAATACAAAGAAGTGACCAGAAGCACACGGAATAAAACAATTTCTGTCTGTGTGTACCCCTTACACAAAACAAAGTTGATATTCAATTGTACCACTCAGTCAATCAAGCAGTCGGTCATTTGATTGTTAGTTAATGTTTTATTCACGTAAAACAAACAAGCAATTATCAAAACAGTGAAAAGCAAAAATAAAAAACAACAAAGTTCATATTCAATTGTACCACTCAGTCATCAAGCATTCAGTATTTGATTGTTAGTTAATGTTTTATTCTTCTATACAGATAATGATATAGCCAGGCTCCAGAAGAAAAATATATTCTGATATGTTGTTCAAATGATTTTTCTGACACAAAAAGGACACTGACACCCCTCTGGCTGCACCATGTATGTGTTCAAAAAATGTGTACCAGATGCATCAAGTTTTCCATTTTTAGAGCTAATTCTGCACCTTCATTTTATAAACTTCACTTAAAGTTAAATCAATTAGAACTAAGACTTTTGAGTGGACATAGCAAAACGATCTTCTGACTAAAATAAAGTATATTTTGTAACAATCTTCTTGTAAAAATAATATCAGTAATTCCAAGAATTAAAACAAACCAAGAAATCTTTTTGTAGCAAAGAAACTTTTCGAAAAAGGAAACACTGTCTCTCAAAAATGCACTGTTTGTGGCGTCTAGATATCCTAGCATAAAGGGAGCTTCTTATTCGCACACCGTCAAATAGAAAAGTGAGGACTAATCTTAGGGTGTGTTTCTACTGATAAACACAAAATAAGTGATTTTTTTAAACCGCTTTTTTAATGAGTACCAGACAGCCTGCTCGTGTTGCAACTGCATTTTTGATTTTTTGAAAATCGGTTTTCGTGACGGAAATTACTTCACCATTTTGTTTATACAACACGTTGTTTTCCTAACTGTATAGGATAGTATCTTTCTCATTCCTGTCATGATGACGAGGAGTAAGATACGGTGTGGGGCGAGAAGGCAAATGTTTTCGGCTGCGCTCATCGGCACAATGAACAAGCGACCAAACGAGGACAACGGTAGGCCCAAAAGGGCGGAGAGGCCTAGGCCCAATATCCCCTCAGAAAATAATTACAAAATGAATTCGTCGCTCCACATGTTTCTTGATGTTTTTAGCTTGTAGGCCTAGGACATAAACAAGAGGACAAATTCTGTTGAAAGTTTGCGCCTAATACAATCTAGTCTTTGCAGTGACTGACCTGGAGGTCACATTTCACCTGATAATCGCTTTTTTTGTGTTGCAGCTAAAAGGTGCACAGCCAAAATCGGTTATTTGCCGTTCAAACACGCTATCCATTGCGTGTTTTTAATCGAATTATTTTAATCGCTTTTTTCAAACTGGTCCCATTTCTACTGCGAGAATAAAAGCGATTTTTAATCGATTATTTCTTTCCAGTAGAAACAGGCCCTTAGTTTTGAACATGCTGCCTTGGTTCAAATTTCAGTATCAGACAATGCATAGCCAGCTATTGGGATGGTCCCACCCAATTTTTCTAATGGGTCCACAAAGAATAGGTCCACATTATTATTAATTAGTAATTTTTTTTGGGCCCTATTGTCCGCACCAGTTGGGCCAAATCGTCTGTCACCCTAAGTTTTCATCACGATGAGAGGGGTGGCACCAGTTTTTATTTATTATTATTTTTTACATATTAGTAAACTCTAAAATCGATTAAATAAGCCTTTGAAACCTTGAATTATCAAAATTTTTGGGGGCTTCGCCCCCAGGACCACTTTCGGAACCTTTTAATCGAAGCTCAACCACACTTTGCTTTCATCGGGGAAATCTGACCCCTCGTTGGATATAGTACCTTCATATGACTACTTATACAACAGAAAAAAATGTCGCATGGGGTTAGCGAAAAATGAAGATCTGAAAAAACAATGTATTTTAGCAAGTATTAAAACTTTTCTTTTTTATTTTAGGCCTTCTTCAAAATGCCTACTGCAGTTGATTTTTTTTCCCCGCCAATTCAAAATAGTATCGCCCATGCCGACTTGGTGATCGGCTAGAGGTCCTGCTGCAGTTGATCGGTTAGCGTGAGCCCTGACTGAACACTGTAGAAACTTAGCATCTCCAAGAAAAACAAAATGTCGGAAAACTTTCTCTTGATGCATGCGCATTTGCATAAATGTCTACACACACACTACACACAGTAAAAAGTGATTCTAAAGGCAGGCTCAGGTCGACACGGAACTGAAAGGAACTCAACTCAACTCGTCCACCTTAGCGCTCCGCGCAACTCAAAGCAACTGAACGGAACTGAAAGGAACTGAACTCATGTCGACTTTGAGCAACTGAACGGAACTGAACGGAACTGAAAGGAACTTGGCTCATGTCGACTGGCAACTGAAAGGAACTATTGACTAAAAACATTTTCCCCCCGAAATCCCATCAACTGCAAAATGTCTGTAATGTATTTATTAAGACATGTAATTATTTTAAAAAGTGTATCTACTTTATTTTTTTTGTTTTGAAAATGTCGACCAGCAACTGAAACAAATGGTGCCTGTTTGTAGTCGACAGAATTGAGTTTTTAAAGATTTCATTTTCTTCGAAATCTCATCAACTGCAAATAAATGTTTGAATGCTTGTAAGATTTGACGTGTGGTTAAAAATAATAAAATTATTTTTGAAGTTTATCTACTCCTTTTTTTTAATTTAGAAAAGTGTATTGCATATTGGTCTATTTGAAATGGGTTCATGCAAAATCTGGTGGAATAATTAAAACAAGAAAGGTCTTTTTCTATATGAAAAAACAAAAACAAAAACAACAAGTATACACGAATGCATTTTATACGTGACAATGTTTACATGAATCAGCTGTCAAATATGTTATAAAAATGTATTAATTTAATATTACGCGAATGCAGCAGCATACTTTTGATAGAATTCATAATTTAACACTACACTGCAGAGGGACTTTCTGAAAAAGAAATTTAGCTTTTCTTGACCTAAACCTAGGCCATAGATAAATGTTTTACTGTTAAAGAATTTGTACAAAACTAACTTCAAAAACAATGCACACTCCCAAGAATTACTGGATTATTTATAATTCGTAAAAATTGATTTTGGAAGTGAGATCTGCATGCCAGTTAGTTGTACGTAGAGTTAGACGTAGGCTGGTAGGCCTGGCATAGGAAGCCTGCCTTTTTTCTACACTTTAGGCCTAGCCTAGGCTAGCTAGAATATGGTAAGTATATGCTGTATTATTATTATTATTATTATTATTATTATTATTATTATTATTATTATTATTATTATTATTATTTATTTATTTATTAATTATTATTATTATTATTATTATGCCTAGCCTAGGCCTATTTGTTAATGTGTTAGAATAAAAATCTTGCCTATGGCCTATATTTTTTAAAACAAAGAATAAAGTAATCTGCCATTAACAAAACATTGTAATATAATATCTTTTTTCAGTTAATGCATCTTGATTCCTTTGAGTTCCGAATCAGCATTTTTTTCACGCTTTTTTCAGTTCCTTTCAGTTCCGCAAAAAGTTGAACATGGGCAACTGAAAGGAACTCAACTCAACTCAACTTGACTCATGTCGACAAATATGTGCGACTGTCAGTTCCTTTCAGTTGCGGTCAGTTCCTTTCAGTTGCGTGGAGCGCTCATGTCAACGAGTTGAGTTCCGTGTCAACCTGAGCCTGCCTTAATACAGTAGTTTCTATTGCATTACATGCATAGGAACTAAAAATGAATACCTAGTAAATGTGATTGTTCCACAGCATGTTTAAATTTACTGTGAATAATATTGATGACTAGGAGGAATACTAAAAATACAAGATACAAGTCAACTTTTTGTTGTCAAAATAATATAAATTATGAGATAATTGTTGTACCTTATACTGTAGAATCATTTATAAACGTACATGTGATGAATAGTAAAATAAATAATTCTTAGCAAAAACCAAAAGTTCCTGATACATTTCAATTACCTTCTGAAATTTTGATTAAATAAATTACGTAAAATGCTGAGTATCTGAAACAGTTTGTGGATATTTGATGAACATTGTATGTACAAATGTTGTCTATGACCAATATGTAAAGTCCTTTGAAATGGTTAGACAGGCCAATGCCAACAATTATTACTTTATAAATAGTAGTTTACCTGTTTCTTCCATTCTTCCTCTTTGATTTAGACTTCTCACAGCAGTTTATTAAATAATTCACTCAAACTGTTGAAACTCACAAGCATTCACACTAAAATGAGATATTAAATATTTTTATATATTTCTGTATTAAAATTCACTTTAATTCAATGTTGGTCAACTCTGTCGCAATGTATCTCGGTTTTACATTCCAAATGCATACAAAAAAAAATCTTGCAAGTGATTTGGGTGTGAATCAAACCAACGACCTCTAGATGACTAGGTGTCTTAACCACTTGATCACCCAAATTGCGCTTGGTAGCTAGTGATGAATCCAATCCCCAAGTAGGAGTAGGTGTCTTAACCACCCGACCTCCAAGTTTAAGCTTCATAATGGCAATATCTGCTGCTACCTAGTGATCGGATTTATCAGTAGCAAATGTATAGAATTATGAAAATTAGTAAAAATTACCATGAGAGAAATTAACTATGTCAAGTGTGAACACTACCGCTACAGTAATTAATAGCCAGAATACAACCACTGTAAATAAAACCAAGTTGTCTATTGGTTTTTAATAGCCCAATGATTTGCTTTAAAATGCCAAAATCTAAAAGAAAAATTCTTTGAATGCAGTAGAGTACAGTAATATCTAATTATTCTAAACAACATCTGAAAATTTAGAATATCAATAACATTAATACAAAACAGCTACTCAGTGCAGTTTGGCAAGAGCATTACATTCTCCAAAATTCTACTTACCCAGTATTTTCTCAGTATCAGCAATGTCCCCCCCCCCCCCAACAACTCTGCTTCAGTCCCCTGTCTCCTCAGCTCTTGGATAGATTGTATCGTCACATCTTGGCTCACCTTACTATACGTGACTGGTAATGTTTATTTCTGTAAAAGTCATAAATATTTGATTTATCAATATTTTGTTGGATTCTTTAAAACTTTCTTAGGTAAAAAAAATCAACAAGCAATTTAAATGAATCGTAAATTAGTGTTGAAATTAATGATTTTATATTTTTTGAATTAGGCTTCTTTAGAGACTATTTTAATTGCTTGCTTGAATTTTACTGAACCAGCAACTCTCACCTGCCTTATTCTTACGATGCAAAAAGAATAGTTTATTTAATACCTCATTGATATTTTTTATAGACATACATTATTTCAATCAATGTTGATTAAAATAGATGTAATATAAGCTATTATTTATTGGAAATTTATTTGAAATTGAAGTTACCGTAGACCAAATATCATACCCTGAAATGCAATCTAGAGTCACCAAATAAGTACAGAGACCACATAAGTAAGACCACATATGGGATTGGGATTTCCATGGTCTTTAGCAGCGTTGGTCTCTAATTAGAATAATGCAGATAAAACAAATTATTTTAATTTGGGACCACAGAAAAATGGTCTTTAATTGGAGATGGTCTTCAATTGGTTTTTATTATTTATACACATTTGGCTGCCCATACTTTGTAGTGTTTGTATGATTTTGTATAACAGAAGTCAAAATAATATGATAGTTTTATATAACCTCCAATACATCTATAATTTTAGCATTGATTTTTTTTTTTTTTTGTTTCACTGTTTTTTTTAATGATTTATTCTAAAAATATGTCATTGAATAGTGCAAGCCTTTTGATGTTAAAAATTAAATCTAAGCTTAGTTTCCTTTAGTTCCATTATTTGGTAAATTTTCAGATTGAGAACTTAAAAAATACCAGATTATTATATGCATTTGTTCTCATTGTATGATGTAAAAGATAAATGTTCTTAAGACAAAAATCTGTAATATAAATATCAAGCTTGTTATTTTTTTTTAACTTTACAGAAATTAAATTGTTAAAAATTGTATTTGTTGCTGCAAAATCAGCATGTCTGACAAAATTCAGCTGCTTCTCTATTTCCTGGTTGTGTTTTCCTTTAGTGTTCAATTGGTATTAGTTACTGAACCGTATCAATTGTAATAATCTATTATTGGCATTTGGTATTTCCATAGAAAATTATGCAAAATGCCAACGCCCACAAACTTTGTAATTACAGCCAGTAGATATTTTTAGTCAGAAAATTACCCATAAAGCCCTATACAAATGTTACTTACTTATGTTTATGATGATATAATGTTATTTTTTTCATGAAGATGTCTGTTATTTAACAATATGTATTTCCTTAGTTAAGTTAAGATACAATATGTTTCCCATTGTTAAGATATTTGCCACCAACGTATAATGGTGTATGTCAATTAATAATAATAATTATTATTTATTATTATTATTATTATTATTATTATTATTATTATTATTATTATTATTAAATATAAAGATGATTGTCATTAATGGAGTTTATTAATGTTACATCTTCAGAAGCAAATGGCTTTACATTACTGCATTGCCTACGAACATCATCACCACCAACTCCTGACTAGGTAGTAGTCTAGCTTAACTCCTGGTTCTTAATTAATTTATTTGAAGAGCCAAATAATTTTTCAAGTTAATCTCACAGGCCAAAGACAGATAATCTCTGAGTTGTACTTTATGGACCTAAGGTGAAACTCTGAGATACCCGCTGCTCGCCTTAAAGACCTTTGAAGATGTTTGGAAATTTCAAATTCAATTCTATTTTAAATTGTACTCTAGTACAATATCAGGATGCTACATTCATTCATTCATTATAATTATTGCAACCATAAGACTGATTTAATATATTTTGCCAAAAGAAGACACTACATTTTCAATATTTCTTACTTATTGATGATGTTATTTCGTGCTTATGTAATCATCACAAAACAAAAATGGTGGTCAAAGATTTGCCAACGGCAGGGAAGGGGGTGATGTCCCAGAACCTCTGGAGCGGGTTCCACCTGGGGAAAATCCCAGACGCTTTGAACAAAATTTAGAGATTTTTAACGCTTAAGGCCTGTAACCGATACAACCTCATTCTGCAAAAGTTGCATGTGATTTTTTTTTTCTCCTTAAATTTTGGTTTAGTTCCTCGCCGGGTAAGATCTCAGGTCAACTCATAATAAATAACTTTCTATGATGAAGCTTTTACTTTTTAATCTACTATGGCTACGTTCAGAAAACGACTTACGCTAGCATAACATTAATTGAGTGGTGTGAACTTGGGCGCGGAGTAGCGATGCCAGTAATATCGCGCAATCACCGGCGTACGGTAATCCAGCAACAGACCCCCAGATTAGCGTACACCACTGATTTACGACAGTCACACATCGGTGATTTTGAACTCAGCCAGGATTTGACCAATCAAAATAAGCCTAGATGTAAACAGAAAACAAAATGCGCGAATTACAAATACGAATATTTCACGCGAAAATACTTACGCTAGCATTCCTTAATCACCCCAGTCTGGACATCTCGCTAGTTACGCCATGGATTAACGTACGCCCAGCGTTAGATACGCCTGGCGTATCTCTTAGGTCTGAACGTAGCCTATGTCACAGCTGAACTATAGACTACCAATCTTGGGTGTTTGTCGATTGTTGGTAACAGATTAGATTCTAGATCTTAGTGGGGTCACCCCTACTTAAAAATGGCCCTCATTATTACTTTTAGTTTTATTTAGATTCCAGACGTGAATCAGCCAACAACGAGGGAAGTAGAATTTTATTTATTTAGGCACACAAAACATGCACCAAGGATTGGCAACAGAGAAAATATCACTGTCTTACTTGTAGGTGACAATCAGTTTCACAAGACAATACATGCACACAATGCTTTACACAAACTAATGGGTAATTCCGTGTCAAATCAACCAGAGGTCACAGGTCAATCGTCTCTGATTTTTATGAAACTTCTTAAAAATGATCCACTATGTGAAAAATCAACATAAACAAAAGATTATCCATACTGGATATGTAGTTTCCGAGATATTGACGCCCCAAAAAAGGGGCGTGGCTCTTCAAGATTCGCAAATGCAATTTCCTCCAACTTTGGAAGCTTATAACTCAGGATTGGTAATAGCTATCAAGGTCAAACTTGGTATTCTAACTAAATATTCCTCCATATTACACAAATATGGCATCAGATTAACTGTTATCCCTCCTCTTTTGAAGTTACCTGCACTCAAAATAGCCACTTTGTTTAACGACGCAATTTTTTTGTGATTTTCAATGTCACCCTGTGTCCATATGAGTGAGTGTATACATCTTAAATTACAGATATATTATCTATGGGTAGTTGCCTCTAGCCACAAGCAAGCACAGGCTGATCAAATTAAAATGGAATGGCATCCATTCAAAGTTGGGACCAGCCCTAAAAAAGCCTATGTTTCCCATTAACGGTTCGTCATGTGGACCATTAAAATCTTTTCTTAAATTTACACCAGTTAACCAGATATATTAGATCTACTTACACACCAAATTTCAGCTTTGGTTCCCAGCTCCTTCATGGTTAGATACTATGTTGAAAACTACACATATTGTAACATAATCGGAAATAACTAAATTTTTTAAGAGTTAGGTAATTCCATGCCATGGGATCATAGATTTTTAAAATTTTTTATACTGACAGTTATTCATGTGAATTGAAAAACCTGAAATTTTTAGACTCCAATTCCTGTTTGTTTTCCCATAGCGGCAGTTTGATGTAAAAGGGGGCGTGGCACAAATTAGTGCACTGTGAAATTAACTTTGATTTTCTTATGCTAATATCTTTGGAAGTATTGCGGCTATAACTTTCAGATTTTGTGGTGTAGGACATCTTTTGCTGCTGATTCCAAATCTGCAATCAGAAAAGTTGTAGCATGTACCAATGTGGAATAGCAATGGTCTAAAAATGGGACAAAAACCTGCCTGGACAAACTTTTCGCATTTTTAGAGGGCTGTATCTGGGGCAAATTTTAAGTTTAGTTAAGTTTATTACTGTGTATATACTGGTAATACTGGTGGGTTAGGATTCCTAAAAATTTGGAGATTAAAAAAGATTTACTTTCCGAGTTACGGCTACCTGAACAATGGTCCAGACACATATTTTAACATAATCGGAAATAACGAAAGTTGCTAAGACCAAGGCAATTCAACAGAAGGACGCACATCTCGGAACATCAAAGGTTATAACTCTGGCATACGTGCGTCCCTACACGCTGAACGTCACAAAAACCATAGCAACCAGACCATAAACCGTCAGCGTATGTGACGAAGTACCCACGCGCATGTTAGTTGCCATGATAACCGCGCGTCGTGCGGCGGATTACAAAGGACTAATGATATTTTGCACTAACATTAGACTGAAATATATTCTTCATTTCAACATTAATTTTACCATTGTGGTGAATTGTCGTTCATGAGACTTACTTCGCAGAAAAAATTAATAAATTTTCTGTATATACTCAAATGTTCGTTTTCAGCACCTAATGCCAACATTGTCAAAACGACAGATTAATGTTACATAAGAACATGAAATTTTATAAAATTCGTAAATTTTAAATTGCTAAATTTCACAAATCAAATTGCAGTTTATAGAAGCATTTAACAAGCTCACGGTAAAAAAAAATCAGATGTAACAGACATTGCGAAGTACCCAAAATTAATAAAATAAAAACTAACACCATAAAACGAATGGCATGCATAGACTATTAATTGACGGCTATACTCGCAACTAGTATCGGATTGTCGATGCCACAGTAAAGATCAAAGGACTGTACGCACGCGCTTGGTTCGAGAGCGGAGATGTGCGTCCTTCTGTTGAATTACCTTGCTAAGACTTGGGTTATTCTATGCCATGGGTCTTAGATTTTTTGCACAATGACAGATATTCATGTGAATTGAAAAACCTGGAATTTTGAGACTCCAATTCCTGTTAATTTTCCCGTAGCAGCATTTTGACATAAAGGGAATGTGTGCACAAAATAGTCCGCTGCAAACTTAACTTGGATTTTTCATATCCCTATATCTTCGGAAGTTCAACGCCTATAACCTACAGATTTTGTGGTGTAGAACAACTTTTACTGCTGATTCCAAATCTGCAATCAGAAAAGTTGTAGCATGTACCAATTTAGAAAAGCAATGGTTTAAAAATGGACAAAAACCTGTCTGGACCATTGTTCAGGTAGCTGTAACTCAAAAAGAAAAACTTTTTTAATCTGGAAATTTTTTAGGAATCATAACCCACACCCAGTAGTACTTACATATATATAGTTATAAACATAACTAAGCTTATTTTCCCCAGAAAATGTTCTCCAAAAATGCAAAAAGTTGATCCAGACAGGTTTTTGTCCCATTTGTAGACCATTGCTATTCCGCAATGGTACATGCTACAACTTTTCTGATTGCAGATTTGAAATCAGCAGCAAAAGATGTCCTACACCACAAAATCTGAAGGTTATAGGCGCAATACTTCCAAAGATATTAGCATAAGAAAATCAAAGTTAATTTCACAGTGCACTAATTTGTGCCACGCCCCCTTTTACATCAAACTGCCGCTATGGGAAAACAAACAGGAATTGGAGTCTAAAAATTTCAGGTTTTCAATTCACATGAATAACTGTCAGTATAAAAAATTTTAAAAATCTATGATCCCATGGCATGGAATTACCCAACTCTTAAAAAATTTAGTTAGGCCAAGTAAAAAAAATAATTGGTTAGCATCCTTTTGGTATCAAATTTCATGGTAGAGAGGGAGGTTTTTTTTTTTTTTTTTTTTTCTCTCGTAGAACATGAAAAACCAGCGTCAGAAGGAAAATTAGCAAAACAAAGAAGAGGAAAACAACAGAGGCCAAAATTGGATACAAGAAATCATGTAATTCATCTATAGCAAGCAGATCAGCTTTGCCTATATGAAAAACAGTCATATTGAAATCCCTATACAGTATATGAAGTTTTAAAACATGCAACATTGCATATACATTGTTTATATGTTTATTATTTTTTATTATAGAACTGATGATATCGATAACAGGTTCATAAAGCATTCCATCCTAAGTGGCGAGTGTAATTGCTGTTGGATGTGAAATTAAAAATAAAAATAACAACAGCAAAATAAGAAGATTGAAGTTTGTCATAGTAGTATAATAATTCATTGTCCATTCATAAACAGAAACGTAATTTTTGAACTGGCATTTTGTACAATAGATTACTATTTGTGATTGTTTATGTACATATAGTGATAATACTCAATAGTGAATACTGTTATTGAGTTTGACTAGTATCATGTGCTACGTTTATGCTGAGAAACACTTTGACATCTAGTTGGACCAGCTGTTTGGAAACATCACGTCACTGTACCAGCATGTGAATATTCCATGCTTTGTGTTTAAGTTTGTGTTTGTTGGACATTAATTAATTATAACTGGACCATACTGGGTTTGTTGTTGGAACAACACAACAGTCATCATTGATGCCATGCAGGGGTTTCGCCAGAAAAACAAAATAGACGGCCTATTTTGTTTTTCCAAAATGGAAGCCAGTGGGCGTGGCACTGAGCCGATGACGGGCCACGCCCTTCATTAGTAATCCCCATCGATTATTGGTACGAAAACGTACATTCAATCAATAAATGTTGTTTTTATCAAACGTAAATATGATTTACCTTTAGTTTAATGTAACATTCGATAGATTTGAAGAATAAAGAATTTGCTAAAGGTAGACCAGGCCCAATTAAGCTAGGCCGAGCTGATTAAGCCAAGCCGTCCAAGCCGTCACGGTAAAAGTTGCCGTCCTAAATAATTGTAAGCAGTCCAAAAGACGGCCGGACGGCTCGCTCGCTAATATACGCATGCACTATCTCGCAACTATATTTCCAGTAATAAATTTATCTATGCTGTCCTACTATGAAATAGCGTGAAATATTTGTTTTATTTAGTTTATCTTTAAAATTTTATTTCGTGAAATATTGGACACAGGTAAGAAGTGAACATGCCACAGTTTTAAACTGATGGGCGCAGCCATGTTTATTGTCTGGTCTCCGGTCACCACAGAGCGGTTCCTCCTTGTTTCTCTTTCGCGCTGTGGATGTCTACTTCCAAAGTGATGGAAATACCAACGCGCTGATTGGCCGACTTTTCTGCACAAGGCATGACACGTAAGCATCGGATCGGAGTTTAGTTTGCTAATATAAACCTAATCCCGAGTAAATCTTAATGCTTTGCATCGGCTGTACCGTGTATACAAATACACTCTTTTTATACTACTACCATAAGACTAGGCCTTTTCTAGATAGAAGCAAGGACTAGGCTAGCCTAGGCCTAGACGGGACGATGATGGAACTGCAGGGATAAGCCCAGTCGGCTGGCGTTCGGACGGATGGTAAACAAGCCTAGACCTATATAAATTGCCTTCGGGAGAGGGAGTTTTGTAAAAAAAAAAAAAAAAATTCAGGTCGGGGGCTTTTCCAACGGTCGGGCGGGGATGCTAACCAATTGTTTTATTTTACGTGGCCTTA